TCCCTTCTAAAAGGGTTAAATTAATAATCTTTTTTCTCAAAGTAATGATAAACCTGTGAGTTGGATGTAGAAGTGTCAGAATCAATATAGATGTTTTTATTTTAAAGTAAATTCAGATTGAACATAGTAAAAAAATGTAAATTATAGTGTCCGTCCAAAAAGAAAACATTACTTATAGTGAAAACCACCCTTGAATGATGGGATAGTAGACTAAAAGCTTTAGGAATCCAAACTATAACATATAATAAGTACCCTGTATCAAGATTGATGCAAAACAAGTGACATTTTACCTTTTTAGAGAGATTTAGAAAAAAAAAAAAACACTTCTGGGGTCATTTGGGTGTATTTTCCATATCTCTGGGCCCCCTCGTTCAATTTTGATGATTGACACCTTTTTTTAACTGTTAGAGCCAATAGAATCGAGGGGAAGTTCCTAAAATCCATCTAAACATTACCCATTGCTGAATGAGTGCTGCGCAGCCAGAATGCCCCAGAACCGGAAGCTGCGATACACTCTGGTGGCTACCATTAGCAGCTAATATAAAATCTCCGATTTTTACATAAAAATGGAATTATGGATTATCAAAACATTTTCAAAGTGACAGACACATTGGATTAACCTTGTGATGTCTGTGTTTGCTTCCCCTGTCGCGAGTTCTGATCGCTCAGTGATGATAATATACCTATATAATCTGTGGAATCTCAGCTTTAATCTGATATCTTGTATGTGCAGTTACGATAAGTAATGAGGGTATTTTTACCTTGAGTTCTGTGCTAAGGGCGTTAGCATTTCTTTGCTCAGGGGTCATTTAGACGCTTCTTATGAGACTTGTGTTTTGTTTTGGTAAAAATGGTTCATATTGTCAGTTAGCTGAGTTTCTTCCTGTTAATCTGGTATGACACATTAATAGGTTTTTAAATATTAAGAAGCCCTGAGACACAGTTTCGTGAAAAAAAAACCTGCAGCCCCCTCTACCGGGGGCTCTCGGGCTTAACAGGTTAACATATCACCAGTAGCTGGACATGATGGCTGTTCTACTTCCTGTTGCTTATTGTAATTTTTTCTTCCCAAACAAAGCATCTCATGGTACTGCTTTAACTCCTGGATCAGCTTTAAGAACAGCAATTTAAAAAAACTTTGATTCATTTAAGATTGCATAGTCAGAATTGCATACTGTCCTCAATTAAATAAAAAATACTTACAGGAGCAAAATAAACATTTTAGCACTATTTAAACCCCTGTTTGGAGGGATGTCATCTGAAGCATGGGTACTTTATATCATTGTACTAAGACATGACAACTTTATAGAGCAAGACAAGAGTAACTGTCTGCTCACTCTGCCATTAAATGAGCGGACGTATTGTTTCATAAACCTGTCTTCATCCGTACTCCGTAGGTAACATCAATCTATCCTCCATAACTCTGTTAAGACATCTACTTGTACATCCTTTAAAACAGATTTATGGAAGCACTCAGAGGCATGTGAGTGGTAATATATGTTCTAAGTTTAATCCAAAATATTTTATCTCCTGTGTTTATGACTGAAGAGGAGATGAGGAGCCAAAAAATGCCAGCCTTTATTTTCAACTGTGGTAAACAAAAAGCATTTGTGTATTCTTCCAGGTTTCTTTAAGTTTCTCCATGCAGTTTAAACACATGGTACATATTGCCTTCCAGCAAGTTCTGTTAAATAGCTGTCACATCTTTAAAACTTATGGCTCACCTGATTTAAGTCTGATTTTAATACATAGCGTGTTGTTATAACTATCTTGGCCACTTCTTGTGGCCAAGATAGTTATAACAACAGCAATCACCTAATTTGTCAAAAGATTCTGAAAACAATTATTCACTAGCCAAACCTTATTAATAAAAAATAAAAAACGTATTCTCCAATCTGATTCATTTTTTTTAAAGAAAATAAAGGAATTTAGAAAGAGTATTCAAGCATCACTTTTTGCAACCTGTTCTTAAGTCATTAACACATAAGGGAAAACAAATTAGGTCTGACTGAAAAAATTGATAATCAGAACATTTTCCAACTTGCCTTCTAGTTGCACAAACATTAGTTTGACTAGGACTGACACATTTGGTTCTTTTTGTCTCCCAGTTAATATGAGTTTTAGCTTTTATGATTACATTTGAAAAATATGCCAACAGACTTGCCCCGGTGACTGACAGTCTACCTCTCTTAACATTTCACTTCAGCTGTCCGTCTGCCTCCGTCCCCTTGCCTGACACTGTCAGCGCTCACCTCCATCACTCCAACCTCTTTCTAATAGACCAGGCAATCTCAGCACCGCACCCCCTCCTTTCCATCCGTCCTTACTGTCTCCATCCTGCCGTCCTTCCCTCTAATATAGTTGACCTAACCTTCTCCTCCCTCTACCTCTCCTGGATGACTTAAGCCAAATTGCCGCTTGGAGGGCCCTTTTGTGGGTAGCAGAATTATAGTGCTCAGGGCCAAGGCCACAAGTTAAGTGCACTCTGCACCAAGGAAAGGTAACAAGAGGACTGGGCTTTACATATGTGAACAGAGGAGGAAGAAGGTTTATGTAAGACAGACTGCAGCTGACGGCAGTAAGATGAAGCTTTGATTTACAACAAGGACAGCAAACAAGTAAACATCATATATTTAACAGGTTTGCATGTCAACAATTCATTGAATGTTGCGATTACATGATCAGCACCTTTGGGAGGAATGCCCAAATAGATCAATAGACTACACTAATGCCCCTTTCACACCAACGCAACTCCGGTTCAAGCTCCGTGCTAGAGCTTTTCTGGTTCAGAACCGGTTCTTCGGTTTAGCGCCGGCTCTTTTCACACCGCTCAGAGCCCGACTGGTGCTGCCGCTGCTGCGTCATGACGTCACAGTTTACGTCGCTGAGTTTCTCCCCAACGCCGGAGCTCACCTCACAATAACAACGGGCCGGGGACTGCGTTGCTTTTAATCATACGAAGCCAGATTAAATTAAATAACGACTTCTCCAACCTTATACTTTTCTCCAGAGTGCCGTGGTTCATTGTTTATTAATGTGTTTCAGCGGCATTTACCGACCGCTGCAGTGCTGGCCGGCTGCTCTTCCACGAGTGTATTCTCCCGTTAGCTCCGGGTTAGCTCACACGGCTCTAAAGTATTCACTGTCTGACTGTCACACAAGCAGCTGATACATATCCCCAGTTCCCCTTAAGTGAATGTGTGTCAGTCTGAATTGACGCTGTTTGGTGTCAGTCTGAATTGACGCTGTTTGGCATCACAACGCTGTTATGAAAGTTTCTCTGGTATAACATGGGTGATGTTAGCATAGCAACCGAAGCTAAACTGACTATTTGCTAAGCAGTTTTCTACAGGCACTTTTTACCGACGTATTTTTCATTATGATTCTACTTGTGATAGTCGGACATGACAACCTGTGCAGCCCATGTATTGATTCCATCCGATAGCTGCTATAATAACAAACAAAACGTCTGCCTGCTCTCCACAATGATCAATAACAGCGAACGGATGGTCAAAGTAAGGTACAAATAAACAGAATCACACGAAGCCTGGTTAGTGTTGCCTGACTTTATAAAGTGTGTTTTTTTTAACAAGTGTGTGGTTGCGTTCTAGTCACTTTGCTCAGCACTACTGCTTGTTACAACTTTTATTTGCCGTACTCGCCTTAAGTGTTAGCTCAGGTTAATCTCGCCCCCCTCCGACGTAAGCGTGACGTATGCGGTTCTTGCTTCTAGACGGACAACTTTTGGTGCTCGAAACGAACCGGATTCCGGAGCTATGACGCTGCTCCGCTGCGGTGTGAACAGGAAACCCCGGTGCTTTTCAAGCACCAGCACCGAACCGGCCCTGAAACACCGTTGGTGTGAAAGGGGTATAACAATAGCTAGGTGTGCCCCATTAAGCACAGCTGGAGTTACGCTTTTCACTCAATGCTTGTGTTTTCTTGCACTGAATTCAAGTGTATCCTCATTTAGTATTACACCTGATATCTGACAAACTTGGACATACTGTGCTTCAATTGAATGCACAGTATGTCAAAATAGTTAAAATGGCTTTGCAATACTCTCCCACACAGGTGGGTTAGTAAAATAAACGTTTGAACGCTACCATCTTTGTTTTCATTTCCCTGTATATGTTGTTTCTGCTTCCTTTTCATTGGTTTACAGGGTTTCAAGAGCTTCATGCCTGACGTATTTCTAGTGCATAGATGCAGTGCAGTCACACACACAAGCACATACTGTACTGTACATGAAACACGCTGAACCATAGGTCAAAGCCTGCTGGCACTGCAACAGTGAAGCAACATGAGCTAAACACCCACAAAGCATCATGGGAGCAGGACGATGTGGGTGTATTGATTTCTGTGTGGGAGAGGGGCAGAGGGGTGGAGCTAAAACTGGAAATGCAGCGATGAGTGATACACATTGAGTAATGTCTAAATGGCAATGTGGGAGTGGATGTGATGGGGCAGGGTGGTGTATAACACAGCTGAGCGGAAACAGAGCAGAGTGGGAGGGAGGGAGTTTAAGGGTGGGGCTGGTGTCACAGCAGCCACACCTCACCATGGAAACAGTTGCCTGGTGATAATGCGAGAATGGCCAATAGTGATGCTGCTCCCTGGATCAGCACCTCCCACCTGGAAGTGTTCAATTGATAAACATGTTCGGGGTAGGAGGTAACAATTTCAATGTGAGAGCGTTAGCCATTTTACTGTGATTCTCGTTGGAGCTTGTGCGATAGAATCAAGGAAAAAATATTTTCTTTTAGAGCTTCTGCTTAGAAAATAAAAAGCAGAATATGGCAACCTTTATCTCAAATCTTGGTTTCACAGCAGAGGCATGCTCAATGAGCCATACTCTCTTGGATATATCATTTTGCAGATGTGTTTTGCGCATACAAGTTATCGTGAATCTGTATAATTTTTATTTTATATGAAATTCTGAGAATAAATTACTATCTGGACAATGTAAATGTGTAATTGAAAGAAGTACAGACACTCACTTGACAGAAGACAGGTTTGTATGTTTTTGAGAAGAGCTGGGTGAGTTCCTCAGAGTCACACAGGTCCAGCGGCAGCCGGTTGATACACAGACACCTGGAGTGGAGGTTCTCCTCTTGGCCCAGCTGGTTGACGTCCATCCACTGCACCATCAATGAGCGATCCTCCTGCACCATCAGAGAGCAGCATTACATTTTGCTAAGACCCTAAAGTACCTTCAGACTCCCACACTGTACTCACTGTAAATTCAGCATCCATTGTAACAAATATGAATTAATATGTTGGTACTTTTTTGTATACTGCCATCCTCTCTTCCTTTACAGAGCTGATATAAAGGTTGTCAGCCCTTAAGATGAAAACTTCCATCTAGAATGTTTTTTTTACTTTCCTGATCACACATGCAAGGTCAGTCTTCATTAACGATACAATTAACTGCTCTTATTTATGAATAAAGAGATGTTTTTCGATCAGCATTTCTCGACACAGACAATTTTTGTGTTCAACTTTCATGAAGTTATCACTTCGATAATAAGGTAAGGTTAAAAAGATAAACATAGGCTATAATGTAATCAATCAAAGTACAATTTGCCATGATTTGACACAGCAAACTGAAATTCCTCTTGTACTCATCAGAAAGCATCCAAAGCAACAGGATCCCTTCATTACACATTTTTTCAGTCTTATATAAAAAATAACAACAACATCAAACATGAAGTGCTTATTTTAACAACCAACTTTAACGTACTATCGGTCGGCCCAGCAGCTCCGAGCGGGCCCGTGAAGCGGAATCCTTCTTCATGTATTCAACAAACCCATATCCTTTGGAGTGGCCCGTCAGCAGGCTGTACACCAGGAAGGAGCGCTCAATGTTCCCATAGGCGCGCACCATCTCCTCCAGCTGCTGGGCGGTGAAGGTGTGGGGCAGGTTGGTGAGGCAGAGCATGGAGTCGGTGGGCTGCAGCGTGACATTGATCAGGCGCCCCCGGACAGTGCTGTGGTGGAGGGAGCGGATGGCATCCTGAGCCTGGCCCCCGTTCAGCAAAGTCACAAAGGCTGGAGGAGGGGACATTATGGAGACAGGGACGAGGCGAAAAGACAGACAAAGACCAGGATGCACACATAGAATGACATACACAGACATATGAGGACAGGGACATGTGAGAGACAAGCACAACACAAACATACATTTAAAGCAGACATTCAGAAACAGGCAGAAAGCAGTTTGTGGAGATCGCAGAACACACAGTCAAAAGACATGCAAAAAACAACTCACATCAAAAGCAAAGAAAATGAATGACAGGCCGAAAGTGGCAAAGTGACAGAAAAAATAAGGGATAAAAGGCACAAACGAACAAAGTCACAGACAGTCATAATGACAGACAGACAGACAGATACACAGAGAGAAAGACAACACATTAGCTTGAAAGCCAATAGGGAGCCACTATGCAGGGGGAATGCACTGTGACACACACATATACACAAACTAATCATTTAAAAAAAGTGTGTCAGAGAAAAAATATGATTTATGAATGCTTAAATACTATTGGAAATGTCCATGCATTGCAAATAAAAAACTACTCCTCAGAGGTCCCCTCAAATGAATGAGAGTATCATGTTTTTTTTTCTTTTTATCCTTCCAGATATTACTCCCTTCCCTGAAATTGAAATTGTCAGCTGTCTGGCCGTCAGTAGTTTCAGTGTTTAGTTTTTTTTGCCATTAAAACGAGAAAAGCCTACTGTGTCTACTGTGTAGAGAAGAGGTCTTTCATATTTTATGTCATGTAGAACTTGGTTTGAATTCCCAATAGAATTCTGGCCTCACTGCACTGGCTTCCAGTTCGGTTCCCAATTGATTTTAAACTCCTTTTATTTGTTTTTAAAGCACTAAATGGGCTGGCTCCGGCCTATATAACTGAACTGCTCCAGCGCTACACCCCAACAAGAGCTTTAAGGTCTGCTGACCAGCTGCTGCTGATAGTGCCCAAGACCAGGCTCAAAACCCGAGGGCACCGAGCCTTCGCAGCAGCTGGCCCTAGGCTCTGGAACACTCTGCCCCTCCATGTGAGGTCGGCCCAGACCCTAGGGGTTTTTAAATCTACTCTTAAAACACACTTCTTCTCCCTGGCCTTTTAGTCAGAGTGGAGCACGACTCCTGACTTTTCCCTGTGTTTTTTATATATCTGTTGTAATTTATTGTCTTTTATTGTGATTGTAGTAATGTGTTTTTATGTGATTGTAGTATTTATTACATGTACAGCACTTTGGCCCGACCAAAAATCGCTTTTAAATGTGCTTTATAAATAAACTTTGATTTGATTTGATTTGATAGACTTCCTTTCCTACTACCCATGCATATGGGAGGAACAGTGTGACTGTAAAGAACACCAATAGCCTCGAGTGAATATACCCTTAAACAGCCTCATATGAAAACAGCCACTGACAGATTAATGGGCTGTGAAATGAGGTGGTAATAAATTGATCTGCGAAGTGTATCTAAAAACCCAACGTGTGTGTATGTGTGCGTGTGTATGAAACTCAAATATACAATAATCTGGCTCGCTAAATCTAGGCCACCACAAAACTTAACAACAGGTCAAATCTTACACCTGAATCATTTCCACTAGGAATTATTACTGAAACCAATGTAACTTAGATTTTCCATCATCTCCTTTATGACAGATCAACTTAGCAAAGCCCAAAAGGGGCCTGCAGCATAAATGTTAAATTGCATTATGCAGCGCTCAGCAGGCATGGCTGAAAAAGAGCAGTAAAAAATAACGACAGCACCCTAAGGTGTCAAAAGGAGAACTAGTTAGAATTGTAAACATCTAACTAGGCTAACATAGTAGGTACACACAGAACATGTGCAAGGCCAAAAGAAAAACGCATATCAAATAAAAAATGCAATTTGAAATTGAGAATCAACCTCTCTGGGTCCAGTGTAACTATGGTGATAGAGATAAAATGCTTTGTAATGAGCACCTTCTTCTCAGACTTAAACTGAATTGCATCACACCCTTTCACCAATAAGAGATTAAATAAAATGTATTACTGATTCATGGTACTGTAGAGTGGCACACAGTAGATTCTGCCAATATTTAGCTTTTCACATGCAGATAAATATCACCCTGCCTCAGGACGATGCCCCCCCCCCCCCCCTCTACCTGAGCGAGAACATAACCCAACGTCTCTCAGAGCTCCAACCTCCTCTTCTGTTATTCTAACCCTGAAGTCCTACACTGTTGTTCTTGAGAAAATGTTTCACCACGCTTCGAGAAACGTTGCATGATTCACCAGAACACCTTGTTTTATTTTAAAGAAATGTTATTGGCTATCTCTTCCTCATCAGGTCCGTGCTTTAAGCTGTCATTTATTCCTTTTAAAGAATGTAGACAAAGGAAACCTTTAAACTGCGACATTTTATCATTTTCAAGTACGCCATTTCTGTGTTCCAATTAATGATGCTTCATGTTGGAAGTGAAAGTGAAAGTTGAGTGTCACTTGTAGCTCTTGCCTTCCATTAGTGGTGATGAGTGATAGAGAGGCCGAATCCAGCAGACAGAGTTACAAGTTAGCATTATTCACAGGGCAAAGACAACAGAGGCTTCATCCTTAAATATTGTGTTCCAATGTTTATGATAAGTGAATAAAATATATTTTTATGGGTGAAAATGTAAACTATGCACACAATTGTCATTACTTATCTGTTTTGATTGACCTCTAAAAAGGAAAATGGAGCCCTATAGCTTAGCTTCTGGAACCATAGTGAGTGTCAATCAGAGTACAAAATCAAGGTATGCTAATGTTTATGTTTTGAAATCCAAACTAGGCATGCATTACTGCTTTTATGTGTTCATGTCCAGGCCTGCTATGTGGCATGTGTGGCATGTTCTGAGGTCACATGTAGACCACGGCCATCATAAACAACAAGGCGGAAAAAAAAAAAGAGTATAAAATGTTGATTTATACTTTTTGGCTACAGCTCACCACACACACACACCTTTAAAACAATTCAGCGACAAAAGTAACATCCAAAAATGCGAAGTACCATGTCTGATCCTGAATGCACGATAGATAGTCAGGCTCCAACAAATCCCTCTGATTAATTGTTGAATTATTCACATAAAAACATTGGCAGCTGGTGTCTCTGCCACTCATCGCAGGGAGCAACACAGCCAGGAACCCTCAGAATGAGGAGTGATTTTACGTGCTAAAATATTATGCTTCAACCACAAACTATTATTACTCCGTCAAAGCCGGCTACAATTATGTGGCTTCCATTTCAAAACAGCTAGTTCAGAGACTTAACAAGACAAAGAAAACCAATAGAAAAATGACAATCAGAATTCACTTTTGAATCAATATTGAGTATGTAAGATATAAGATAAGATAAGATGTACTTTTTATTGATCCCAAAGTGGGATAGATACATATAAGATACATATTAACGTTGGAAGAAAATGCACATTCCCTTTCTACTCTGGTGCAGGCTGGTAAATCAAAACATGTATTCAAAAGCAAAACACATGTGGAGCCGACAGGAAATCTGGAGGTGGCTAAAACACATCTGTCACGCACGATGCCCCGACTGACCTGGACACGAACACCACATTTAATCGAACATCAAAGCTAAAGTTTAGGTACATGCATGCATCCAATCCTTAAACATAGAGATCGGCAGGGATGCAATGTCTACTTTCTTTTGATTAACAATGTAGAGCCTACAATTACATTTTACACACTGCTCCTCTATATGTGCAGACGACTATGACTCAGATCAGATGGGCGCTGGAGTCTTGGGTGGAAATAAACGTTGTTGAAATGAGCAACAATTGGGACATCTGCTCAACAGGCGTCTGCACCGAGAACATCAATGTAGGCAGATCTAATACAAGGTCAGTGTTGAGCTAACACAAACAAAACTACACCCACATCTCAGGATCTTTATCGGCTGGCCTGTACTTGTCCCTCTACTGCATCTGTATCTCTTTTGATGTCTGAGTTTTTGCAGCTTTATCCAACTTCTTCGGCTCCATCTATTGGCTTTACACTCGTCTGTTTTTTGGTCTCCCTCACTACTTCTCTCCCAGTTTCTGTATCACTATTTTCATGTGCCTCTGTCTGTCTTCAGATACCGCCTCCAGCCAAATCAATTACCTCAATCTCCAACACACACACACACACACACACACACACACACACACACACACACACACACACACACACACACACACACACACACACACACACACACACACACACAACACACAACACACAACACACACACACACACACACACACACACACACACACACACACACACACACACACACCACACACACACACACACACACACACACACACACACACACACACACACACACACACACACACACACACACACACACACACACACACACACACACACACAAATCTGGTTTTAACCCGCTAAGTACGCTACCTTACATTAGGCATTAGGAGGAGATGGAGAGAATACTGTTTGGGCTTAATGCTAAAGCTCTCTCTCTCTCTCTCTCTCTCTTTCTATTGCCTCTAATGACACAGTGCAGCAGTCAGGCGGGGGCTGACGTCAAATCCTGCTCAATACTTTCTCCAACAGTGAAAGGGAGAAGTCTAAGATGCTTAAATAGCTTACAAAATAATCTTATAATTCACAGACTGGCAATCATTGAGTGGGTTTCCAAGTGAAAACTCACAAACGCACATACAACTTATGGGTCCCCGCTTCTGAACTTGTCGATTATTCAGCATGATCCTGTGAGAGGTGTGTAGGGGCACAGGAAAATAAAATCTTCAGTTGAAACCCCTCGAAGGAACAATTCTGACGCCACGTTCCCTGATGAAGGAGCTAATTAAAATCAGGGGAGCTACGAACAGCGCGGCGGACCCCTGAAACTCCAGAGGTTGGTCCCTTGGATGTGTGAAAGGTGGTCCTGCTTTTTCATCTCGGCCCGAGGCCTAGATGAAAGTCTCAGGTGGAGAGAGGAATCTCACAGAAATAAACATCTCAGTGAGCTAACAGGGGAAAACCC